ACAGCAAATGGCTACATGCAAAATAGGCAAAGTAAGTATATAATCCTACTGGATTTATAGCAGAGGTATTGGCACATACCAGGAACATTTCAAGCCAAATGTATGACAGCATTCCTTACACCCCTCCCACCCACTGCCATAGCCCAGCTTAATGCAAAGCCCTTTGGCTTCCCCAGGCTCAGAGCTGGGTTTTATTGTTCAAACAGGTCAACAATTGCAATCAGATGTTGACTGCAGGCAAGGCACAAACAGGATGATGTGTTAATGTACAGCACCACTTGGAGGGAGGCTCTGCAGTGCTGCTGTGAATGGTCCTGTGCAGGCTGGCACTGGGCTGATCTCCCAAGGCTGCCTCAGAAGCCCATCTCAGAGCTGTGCCATGAATCCTGTGTGAGACCAGGAAATGAGCTCTGTTATTAAACTATAAACTCCATTTCTGGAAATCATTGTGGGAGGAGGGCTCTCACACCAACTCTGCTTTGGTTGGTTAGAAAATCATAGAATCATTTGGGTGGGAAAAGACCTTTAAGATCATCAAGTCCAATCCAGCACTGCCAAGTCCACCACTCCACCATGTTCCTGGGTTTTTAAGGCTGCTTTAGAAAGATGCTGCTCCCACCTCCAAGTGCCCTTTTAACAAGAATTGAGCTGGAGTGGGATACAGATGATGGCATCTTTGTGAGGCAGGCTGGGAGAGGATCCTGCAGGTGTATCTGACTGCAGAAACAACCTTCCCTGTGCTGGGGGGCAGCTCACAGGACAAAGATTCTGGCCAGTGCCTACAACAAAGACATCCAAAACACGTGGCACTGAAGTAATTCTGTTTATTTCACACCAGGGGAGAGTGCAGCTGGGTTATGCAGTACCTTCCCAATGGATGGGATTGCTTTGCTCCATTTTGTATAAATTTGTATAAATTTTGTATAAATTTCCGCATGCTCAGCCCTGTTCGTTGTCAGGGGGTGCCCGTGGAGCCGCTGCTCCCTCCCAGCTCAGGCAGAGCAAGAACAACCTTCCCCAAAAGCACCCTCAGAACATCCCTCTCCCCAGGCAGAAGCTCCCCTCCCCACAGCCTGCCCAGGCACACACAGAGATGTCCCAAACACAGCCTGGCATGCTCTTCCCACACAGGAATTTTCTACTCTTGTGTCACTGACCACAGACCTGGCAAGGCATCATTCAGGTGTTAACATCCCCGTGCTTTATTTTGCAACCTGACCAGGACAAGACCCATCATTTCTTGGTTTTTAGCACACTGAGAACTCTGAGGTGCCAGAATTTTACTGCCAAATGACCTTTTACACCGACCACAGCAATTAAACAGTTGGCTTGGATTTATCCAAATCCCAGTCTCAGTCCAGTATTACACAGATGCATAATGTACCACTTACAGCTTCACTCCCTTCTCTTCATTTTCATGCTTTGGGTTTGCTTTGTATTTTTGCTTCAAGTTCAGAAACCTTATTAAAATTGTTATGGAAAAAATAAATTTATTATTCAACATATTCAATTTGTTCAAAATGGAATGATCCTTTTTTCTTTTTCTTTTTCTTTTTTTTCTTTTGGCTTTCATTTACAACTGGTTCCATTCAGTTTGACTGTTTTTTATCTTTTTCTATTTATAACCAGCACCAAGAAGAAAATTACCATGGATACAGTACATATGCAAATTAGCTAATGGAAAAATATATACATTTCACTCTGTAATGAGAAAACTTAAATGATATTATTGCCATGGAGAATATATCCCTGTATTATAATAAAATATCAAGCAATAATCAACTGCTAAGATTCTTTTCCACCAACAAAAAATAGCACCATACATGAGATAGTGAGAATCTACACTCAATAACACAATTGTGCAACTAGAAATGTACAGTACTTTAGTAACAGTACAGAGTATTGTTTACAATATGGAAATACCACCACTGTAATCAAAAGAGCATCAATCTCTTATGAACAACTAAGAAAAGTATTGTTGTAGATACACTGAAACAAACAGCTTTTCTTTGCACCAGAATGTGGGAACTGAGGGCAGAGCATAGCTGTGACTTCATTGTGAAGCTCCTATACAGTGATAAACACCACAAGTGCAGGAATATTGAACAGAATTAAATCTTTCTTGTTATTATTTTTCTGGCTGTTATGTGATGTGATAGTTGCCACTATGTGAAGTAAGAGAATTGAATAAAATGGAGCTGTGTTGTGCCATCAGTTCTTAATAACGTTGGGGGGTTTGATTATAAAAAATAAAAGGTTGATGCATGCTAATCCGTGAGCTGTGAGAGCAAGTGAGGTGGCTTTTTCTCAGTGCTCATACAGTTGAAAAAATCCTTGTAAATTCCTTTTTCCTTAGGTAGGATCCAGAACTTGAACCCAAGTGTCCTTTGGGTCCAGAACCCAAATGGTCCTGGCTAAGGCCAGAGGTCTAACCAGCCTAGCACCCTGCTCTGGCCAGTAGTGAATTATTACTGAGAAACACAAAACCTAAAATCCTTCCTCTCCTATGTCCTACCTTTTGCCTAGAGAGGGTCACAGATCAGCACCAGAAGGAAAATGTTCCTGCTGTGGAGAAGCACCTTTGATTCCCAGCAATGATAATTCACACAATTCTGCCAAGGTAACAGAGAAAATGTTGCCCATGAGAAGAAAACAGCAAATTCCAAAGGGAGTGAGGGGTGTCAGGGGTGGCTGTGGGGGCAGGGAGGCAGCAAGGACAGTCCCAGTGTCACTGCAGGCTAAGGGGGAAACACCACTGTGGATTAAGAACATAAACCAGGTCCTCCAGGCTCTGTCTGATCTCTTGGAACTTTCTCATTAGCAGTTCTTCTACCTGTTAATTTGCCTAATTGAGTATCACCTGGTATTGTCTAAATCTTCCCTGTCACCCCCGCCAGCAATTTTCCCTTGATTACTTGCCAAGTACTTACACAACCTCTGGGCTGGGCAGCAGGGTGGGAATAACAGAAAAAGGAGGTCTAATCCTGATTATAAATTGCAAAAAAAAAAAAAAAATCCAGTATAACAAAAAACCAAGCTGGAATCATTTCCCTGATAGAGAAAATCATCTGAGGCATTGGAAAGCAGATCTGTTTGAGACAGGCACTTGAAGAAAAAAGTTGTGCAAATGTGCCCTTGTGCATCAGGCCAGCCCTGGTGCACACACACTCATTTGCACACTCACAAGCACAGATGTAAATGTGAAGCCTGCACAGGGTTAGTCTGTTGATGAACATTATCTCCCTGTGCTTGAAAAATTTAGCCCTTAATGAAATGCTGATAGGTTATTCCAGTGAGGTCCTGGATATGCAAAGAACGGTACTAAGCAAAAATTGCTTTAAAGACATGTTAGCTACTAAGAGTCTTTGTCCTTCCTTGCATTGACAAAAAGAGACAACAGCAACAAAGACAACCTGGGGCCAGGTGAGAGCTGCAAGGCAGCCTGGCCCGAGGGCTGGGGGAGCAGCTGGGCCTGGCTCTGTGCTCAGCTCCAAGGAGTCAAACAGTCCCACGCAGTTCCAGAGCTTTGCACTCCCAAAGCTGCAATTATCCAAAGGGCTGTTCCTGTCACCAGGAGGGGGCTGAAACTCCACCATGGCCTTGGGCCCTGGCAAGGGAATGATGCTTGTTGGAGCAAGATGTGATAGGGAGACAATGATGTGTGTGACAAGGGAGGGGACAAGGCCTGCCCTGGGCAGAGTTCCTGTTTCAAGTCTCACATCACAGAGAGGAGCCTGGTTTAAAGTGCAGAGACATGGCAGAGAGTGTTGTGTGTGCAGCACCTGTAAGTGCTCTGACAGCACCAAACCTATAGCACCAAACCTGACAGCACCACACAAGTGACACAGGGAGCATTCAAAGACAGCAATGGAAGTCTGAGCCCTTGGCTTCCCACAAGCTCCAGGTTACACTTTGAATGTCTTGCATCCTTGGCTACTTCTGGTTACTCCAAAAGCTACATAACCTCAGCTGTGTAAAAGAGCCCAGAGATACAAAACACCTGTTCTGCTCCCCACTACATCCTTTTCATAATGATTGTTCCAAATTCAGTTTCTGTTCCAACCCTATCCAGTTTCACAGTCCTCTTATAAGAACCAACAGTCTCATTATCTGATTGACTTCTAAAAATTGGAGAGAGCTTAGGCCAAGCAATTCCTCAGTGAGCTCTACTGGATGAAATGATTTCTGGCTTCTCCCATCTCATGTAAATGGTTCTTGTTTAAAAGTAACTATCTACGGCTGTTAATAAGCTTCCATTTCATTAAGCTCAGAGAAAAATTAGGTTTCACAAAAGAAACTCTATTATTCTGGGGAAAAGATAGAGAGGATTGTTTTTTAAAATTAGAAGGAAAAGCACTCCCTATTAGTGGCTCTAAAAATATGACTTGGAATGTTGGATATAATTATACTGAGTTTTCTGTAGGAAATTCAGAGATGTCCATCCTCTGCTATCAGTTTTCACGAGCTTTTACAGAAAATCCTCTCTTTAAACTAAGCCTTTCATTGATGCATGTCCCTCCAAGCCCACTCTGCAGTGGGATAACTGCTGGGAATTGAAAACAACAGATAAAAGCCAAGATTAAAAGATTAAGTAATGTCTCTACCTTTGCTGAATTATTTTGCCAGAGGCCTTCCTCCATGGAGGTACCAATAACCTTATCCAAAGTAATCACTTTGCAACTCTTGTCCTTTTCTTTAATGGTAGCAAGCCATCCAGTGGCTGGTGATTTAATATATTAAAAAAGCATTAAGGAAAAATGTGAGGATGTCAAAATATTCAGAAATGATTGGTTCCTTGAGATGACCCTTTCTGTGTGTTTTTTTAAGGTGGATGAGCAGATGACTTTGGTATCCAGTCTGTAGGATTAGTTTCAAGTCTCATTAGGTGTGCTTTGGGATCCACCACGCTGTAGCAACTCATGAAGTTCCAGTACTCAGACCTACTAGTCTGTGATTTCCATACCAACAGCTGGAAGACTCTAAGGGGTGGCACAGCTTCATTAACTCTTCTGCTGCATCTTGTTTGCATAAAAGTCTCTGCAGGTCTGGCAGCAGCGCTGGTACCACCGCATGTCCTGGCACAGGTTCTTCTCACGGATCACCCTGCAGTACACTGTCCACTGGTCCCCCGTGCACTTGTAGGTGAGGGCAGCTTGGGAGGAGACAAGAAAGGAGAAACTGCCAGGTTAGCCAGGGAACAGCACTGCAGGTGTGACCAAAAGCCCTGCACCCGAGGGGAGGGAGGGCCACGCTCGCTGCCGGCGCTGGAGAGCAGGTGAGATTCTCTCTGCCAAATTATCAGGCTCTGCAAGTGCTTCCTGCCTTCCCTGGACATGAATGGGGAGTGCAAACCTCCTCCTGTTGCACCTGTTTTGTCTCAGAGGCAAACAGGCCTGGATGAACAAAACACCCAAAGATGCAGCCCAGATTTAAGGCTATGAACTCCACACTGCAGTCAATGGGATGGAGATGAATAAATCACACACCTGGCAAGAACACTTGAGACAGAGCTTATGAATCTGAGATGGGAGAGTTCACATAAGAGAAACTAAGCCACCAACAAGGCCAGGACTAACGTTTCAGAGGTCCAAGGTCCCTCATAGGTTGTGAAGGAAGACAGGAAAGAAGTGACAGGATAAATCCCTCTGAATGTGTCGTCAATGAGAGACACTGGACACAGACATAAAAGCCAGGTGAGGTGAACTCCACACTGAGATATTTTTGGAAATGTTATCCAAGACAAAAACCCATTCTGAAGTAGGGACAAGGCAGCGTGGGGTCTGTAGACTACTGGGATTTTTTTCTGATTTTTTTTTTTTGCTTCCATTGCAGAAAAGAGAAAATTCTGTTTAAAGATAATCCAATTAGAATTGTTTATAAGCAAAAAGAGCAAAACACTCAATGATATGTCTTTCCACTAATATCAAATATCATTGTTTCTGGCTCTGGTGATTCCAAGCCTGGTTTAGAAACAAAAGCATCCCAAATTGCTTGCAGATTATTTTCAGCAGGGACTTGAGCCTCCTCAGTCTTCTAAACACATGAGCATTTTATTGCTTTGTCCTAAAACATGAATTAGGATGGAATTCTTGTCTCATCAGTGTATCAAGGGCTTACTTCTCAAATGAAATGTTTTCCTTCCACTGTGCTCTTAGTGCTAAAATATCTGGGAAGTACTCTCTTACCAAAAGAGGACAGAAACCCCTCAGCATGAGTGCATTTGCAAGAACGAAAGTCCCCATTTTCTCTTAAAACATCTGGTAAACTTTTGGGGAACAAATTTCAGTTCAGAAGCTTCAAGTCCAGCCCTAGTTTAAGTGTTATTTAATACTGGACAGCATTATTAGAAAACGGTTCTTTATTACTTAGCAGCTCTGTGTTTTCATGTGTGTTGGAGGTTTCTTAGCCTTTAAGATCAGCTCAGATGTGAAGGAGGAGGCTGCTCTTTCTGGTAACCTCTTCTTGTTTACAACTCTTCTACCAAAAGGGGACAGGAGGCACCCATGAGGCTGGGCCAGTGTAGCTGATGCCTCAATTTAGCTTCATCTTACTGGTGATGATGTGTGAAATGTAAAGAAACCAACTTGGTTCTTGGAGCTGCAGTGGAACACACAGGGCTGAACTTCGGAAAAATATATGTTTAGTATATTTATATTTTTGTACATAAACCAATGTGGAAAATCATGAGATCCCCACAAATTTGTATCAACAGAGGCATTCTTAATTAGAGGCATGTCTTAGTACAGTGTTAGGTGTTTCAGGAGAGATGGTTATCACCATATTCCCATCCCAGCCAGGGACACAAGGAATGCAGCGAGGGTGAGGAAGTGACAGAAAATCACAGGGTCAGGAAGAGGCTGGATGTTCTCTTGCCCCTCTGGGGAAATCAATCCATCAAACCACCTGTGAGAGTCATGGATTTTCTTGGGGCACCATGAATAAATGATCCTATTTCACACTCACTGCAGCACAGGCAGCGTGTGGAAGGGTTTGTGATGGAGAACAATGCACCTGCCAGCTCCCTCACCTGTGATCAATCAATCAATCAGTCAGTCAGTCAGTCAGTCAGTCAATCCAATCAATCACCCACCATTTGTGCTCTCAGCTCCATCCTGTGCCATGGCAAGCACTCCACCTGGGCACAGCCTGAGGCAGGGCTCAGACAGGACCTAGCCACATTTAGGCTGGAGTCTGGCTGAGCCACTCTCGATTTCTGGTCCAATCACTGCAGCGCCCTGGGCAGCTGGTACCTTCCCCCCAGGCCCCTGACTCACCGAGCCTGGGTGAGGTGATGGTGTTGACGTTGATCCTGTCGTTGCAGACCTCCTGGTGGCACTGCCTGTAGGCTGCAGGCTTGGCCAGCGCGGGGCACTCGCTGCCGTGGCGCCCGGTCACTTTGTGCATGCACTGCACCACGCGCGACTGCAGCCCCTTGCCGCACGTCGAGGAGCACTGCAGGAGAGAGCACACTGAGCTCACGTGGCACAGCACAGCACAAGTCACTGCCAGGGCACAGGGTGCAGCCCTGTGCTGCTGAGGGCTCTCAGCTGGGTCACTGTGGCAGCCAGGGACACTCTGTGGGGCTGCTGTGCTGTCTGTGGTGGTTTTGCACCTTCAGGGAGTGCTGTGAGCAGAGGAACTCTCCTGGCACAGGGAAGGAACCTGTTGTCTTTCTGCCCTGAGTTTACCTACTCTGACTGTCCCCTGTGGATACCCATGGGGTTCAAGCAGACAAAAATGCAATTCCTCCCACCAGTCATGAAGAGGCAAAGCTGAAAAATATGTAGTGGTTAATTATGGACCAGCAGCTTCCACCTCCCTCTCTGTGAGGGACCCGGTGGTTCTTGGTTTAAAAGCTCTCTCCAAGACTTGGATGGTCTAACAAGGCTTCCTCCACAGCCAGGCACTGACATCAGATAAATCCCAGAGTTCCAGCAGAGGCTGGCAGCTCCTGTGTGCCCAGAGCCCTGAGAAGCTCTGTTCTGGAGAGAACACATCAGGTATTCTAGTTTCACTCCCATCTATCCCTGCTAACTGTCTGGCCCTTGCCTGTCCTCCTGGGAGCAATTGCAAATTGTACTCATGAGTTTTGGCTGCTATTAGCCAGGAGGCCCAGCCTGTTCATATGCTCTCTTTGTTGTCATACAGTCAGAGTCCCTCCCTCTCCCTCCCTCTTCCTCTGGCCCAGTCACTTGTGATTTACAATGTCCTACTTGCACGCTGTTCAATTTTAATAAAGCAAACACAGTGAGCACAGGGAGGTGCAGCAGCTGGAGTCAATAAAAGAACCTTGTATTTAACATAAAGAAACAATGGCTTGCAAGACTTGGGTAAGATTCCTGTTTCTGCTAAAGCCACACACAAGCAAACGATGGGGGAGAGGAGGAGGTGAGGGAAAGCCCAGGAGGTATCAACAGAATGATGTTAAAAAAGGTCATGTTTTCTGTCCTCTGCTGTTCCTCACCAAAGTCAGGGCATTGGAGCTTTCTCCCTGAAAACCACCATCACCTCCAAGAGGTAATTCTCAAAGGAGAGATGCCAAACACTGGAGAGGTTCAGGAGTTGGGCATCACTGAGGTTGGACTGAAGTTCAGGTACAAATCCTGTGTGTGCAGAGTGGAGGCTTGTGAAACCCAGATCCAAGGGCAGAACATGTGGATGCACACAGGGCTCCACCTCTACATCCAAGGGGGATGAGTACAGCAAAGCTGTGGTCATTTTGGTCTGGAAGTACTACAAGAAATCCTTGCTGTTTGGGTTTTTCTCCTTTACAATCTTCTTATTTCAATTTAGGTTCAATGCACCAGCTTATGACAGCTATTTTTACACTTAGATTTTTCAGGTGTTGAATTTACATAAAAAATTGACCACTATGAAATAATACCTCAGCAATGGTTATAGTATTTAGGATTATGCTGAATGAACCCTTCTCCTGTCCTACAGTGAGCTATTCCAAAAATCAGGAATTAAAGTCCCTGATGTAAATCCCCTTCACAACCTGAATTTATGCAGTGAGATCTGGGCATTACATTAGTTTTGTGTGTCCCTCAGCTCTTTCCCAGCACTGAGCGCCCTCAGTGACTTCCACCAGCCTGGAAGCCAGTCAGGCACAGCCACTGGATTTAAAGTGAACTATTTTCATCCTGATAAATGCAACTATTAGGCCCTTCCACTTCACCAGTCAAATGCAACCTTTAATCCTCAGGATTCAGTGGCACTTTTAGTCTTCACAGTGCTTTACTAATCTTAATCCTCCCCAAACTCCTTGCTTTGGGAGGGGAATTGTACATCCATTTTGCAAACAGAACTGCTGTTATCACACAGGCATTAAATAACTCAGGCCATGGGCTTCCTTCACATGATTGCAACAATGAGCCTGAAATTTCTGTCTCTGGCTTTAAAGCACTCCCTGTGCCCTTAACAGGGGGGACACAGGGAGAAAGAAGGGAAAAGAGGACAAAACCAGCATTTTTCTCATAAGGTGGATGAGGTTTTCAGATACCAGCACAAAAAAACCTCACCCACCTTTATCTGTGTTCCTGTCTCTGCATTTGTTAAGCAGCAAGGAGGGCAAGCAGTGAAACTTTTTTCCACAGACACTGCCAGCTCCAATCCTCAGACAAATAACAGCAGAGCTTTTGCCTGAAGCAGTTTTATTCCTTCTCCTGGGAGACTGGGATCATCACCTATGCTATGCAATTAGTTTTTCACAGCCAGGAAGACAGATTTTAACATCTTTCTTGAACTCTTTAGGGCTTGGCAGCTAAAGGAAGGTTGGACATCTGGCTTATTTTAAGACGAAATTTTCAACTCGGTACTTGGATAGTTTCTTTCCTAGGAATTTCAATAGGAAATAGGAATAGATACAAAACACATACAAAGGGGGAATTGTTACTCATGCTGCACTATTGGAAGAGGACATCATTAAAAGAGGCATAAAAATCAAACTCCAAGTGTACAGCAAATTCCCATAAATACCTTCTCTCCTTCTCTGGACAGCTAAATGCACTGCTATGGACTCTCTGTTCCCAAATGTTTGTGGAGCAAGGAACCATATCCACAGAACAATTTTCAGGGCTGGATTCAGCAGAGAAGACCCCCCAGCAATCTGCCTCCTCTGGGAAGCTGGGGCTGGGACAAGGGGTTGAGCAGAGATGCTGGTGCCAAAGGAAGAAGGGGATTTTCCCTTCCACCAGGCACTGCCAGAGGTGTCACCATCACTAAAATGCACGTGCAAAATGCACAGAATTTAACCATAATGCCCTAAACTGACATCACAAGCACAGTAAACTGGAAATCCACCCCCATGCAAAGATCAAAGGGTTGCTCACCACTGTAAAATAGAGGTGGTTAATGAACAGCTACAAAAAGTGAAGCTAATGAGAGCCCCTGTAACTCCCAGTTCAAACACTGCTTAGGAAGGCAAAAGCAAGACAAAAATGCCTGCATTCACATTCTTTGGCACTAACATGCAAGCCAGTGGGGATATCCAGAAGGAAATAAACTCACAAATTGTCAAGGCAGCAGCTGCATTCAACAGCTTAAAGAAGATTTACTCACTGAAAAACTCTAACCTTAGAAGCAAGCTATGATTTTTCAACTGGAATGCTATTTCCACCTTAGGATACTGATATGAAAGCTTGAAATCTAGCAAAGGTGCTGACAGATGTCTAATTGCTTTGAAAGCAAATGCCTCAGGAGAATATTAGGTATTAAAATAGAATGAATTTACAGAAAGTGCTGAGATCTGTCAGGGCCTTCATCAAGTCCTGGTCTACAAAAGATAGCAGAGAAAGAGAGGGGAATGAGAATGACTTAAGCCAGGGCAGGGCTGCTGTTGGGCAGCACAGCAGAGAGTCCAAAGAATCCCTCTGTTGAGGCTTAATGGGGGCAGAAAAGGAACAGATTTACCAGCACAGACACAGGCCCAGGACTGAATGGGATAATGGATCATTGCTGAGGGCTCCTGGGAGGCTGGGATACATTTCAGACCCCAGGACACCTTCAGAAATGTCACTTTTCTAACCTCCAAGGGATGGATGTAAAAATATTTTTTTGTAAGAAACTTTTCCCAGCAGAAGCAGGAGGTCACAGCATCCCTCCAGCCAATCCTGAGCACACTCCAGTACACAGAGGGCTGATCTGTCAGAGGGAGATCCAGCTCTAGATGACTGTCATAAGTCAGCTGCAGGCAAGATGGGGTTTTCTCTTTATTCATCAGTCTGCAGGCATCTGATGTTTAAAGATACTGGTTTGCCCCCAGTTTGCTGGAAGTTGTTGAAGCCAAGGATAACACCATGGCTAAAGCTCCAATATTAGAGATAGAGTTATGCTTTACTGACTTCAGAGTTCAAGCATTCAAGGCGTTAGGGTAGAGTGTTTTTCCCCTCGGGGGTCTTATTTCTTGCCTCTATGAAAGTCAGAAAGAAAGCAAGAGAAGTTCCTATTAAAAACATTCTAACACAGCATCTGAGATGAATGACAAAGGTCCTGTAATTGCTCCCTTCCCAGGACCTTAATAGCACACACATGTGTGCTCTGAGAGCCAGTGCTCCACACACCTTCACATCAGGCTTTTTATGAGGATCACTCCTTTAAACCCCACAGTTCTAGCTGAAAAGCAGCATGCAATATGCTTTCATAAACACCAGGTCAACTTTCACCATGGCATCATGCTAAAGAAAGAAATATCTGTCTTTTCACTGATAAGATCTAATTAGCCCAAAGCAATCTGTAAGCTGTTTTTCAAGCTTCCTTGTTCTTTTCTTTCTTTTTTTTTTTCTTCTTTTTGAACCCCAGATCTGTAAAAGAACATATCTGGTCTTGCTTACAACAATCTTTCATTTGGAAACTTTTGTGAAATGACTGATTTGTTTAATTTAGCCAAGAAGAAAAAAATGCATACCCTTCTGACTCAGTATGGGAAGAAACAATAAATTATGGCAGCAAATGCTCGTGGCTGATGTGACAGTATCTTAGCAGGAAAAGAGAAGCAATTTTTGCAAACTGCCTACAGCTGTACTTTCAAACTGTGCGACCCCAAGGAACAAGACCTGACCAGCACATCCAGCATGTCTCACTGCATAATTAAGTTTGGCTTTGCTATTCTGAAAAGCTCCATTGTATACAGAGAGTTCAGAGATTAAAGGCTGAACACATGAATATTCTGGGTAGTGACAGTGCCCCTAAAGTAGTTGTGCAGTGGAGGCCAGGTGGATGCTGATGAGAAAATGCCATTTAATCCAATATTCCAATCTGGCAGAATTTACTTCTCACAAGGTTTCAAACTGGATTTGAAGAACAGGCTCAAGCAGAGCTGAGGTGATTCAGTGCTGCCCACTGGGGCCCATATTCTAGCAGGTCACCTACTGCACTTGTGCGTGGCTGGACCTGTGGCACAAAGTGGAAATACTCCAGAGCTTATTCCATCAGGACAAATGCAAGGACCTGAT